GGAAACATTAACCTATAACCCATAGAATGGAAGAAAGTATATATCTGAGAGGCATTGAAAGACATAGAATATCTAAAACACAATAGCAAGAGGAAGGAGGTGGGGAGGAAGAGGAGGAGGAAGAGGAGGAGGAGGATTAGAATTTAAAAATGGGCAAAGGACAACTAATCACTGGGGAAATACAAGTCAAAACGACAACCAGATACTTCCTTATACCTATTAGGACAGCTACCATAAAAATAATAAAAACACAAAATAGCGTGTGAGATGGCTCAGCCTGAGGCATGAGTTCAATTCCTATAACCCTCATGGTGAAAGGAGAGAAACAACTCCCACAAGTCCTCTGGCCTGCATTCATGGCACATTTGTGTGCATATACACACAAACATATACAAAAGTTAGCGTACTTCAAACCAAACAAAAACCCCTTTGGTCTTCCTCCCTTGGAACCCCTCCCACTCTTGGGAATTCTTTCTCTTCTTTTCTTAATGTACATTTATTCTGCTTTAAAAAAAAAACCACACAAAATAACAAGAATCGTTGAGGATGTAGAGAAACACAACCCTCGAGCACCCTTAATAGGAATGTAAAATGGGGCAAACATGGAAAACAGCAACTGCACTTATAGGTATACATCCGACAGAAATGAAAGCCCTTAAAGGAGTGTTTGTACATCCATGCTCACAGCAGCAGCATTCAAAACAGCCCCAGTGTGGAAGCATCAACCAACGAATAAGCAAAATATGTTATACATATAATGGGACATCCCTTAACTCAAAACAGGAGGGAATTCTGATATACTGTGGTGACCCTGAGAACATAATGCTAAGTATAATAAGCCAGTCACAAAGGACAACACTACAGTTCCACTTGCATGGAGTACCTACAGTAGTAACAATCATCAAAAATAGGAAGTTTCCAGGGACTGGAGGGGGAGGGGAAAGAGAAGCAGACAGTTTAACAAAGTCCAGATGAAAAGTGTTCTAGAACAGATGAAGGTAATGATGTCATAATATGAATGTACACAATGCCACAGAACTCTATACTTAAAATTCCCTTAAAATTTTTTTATTTAATGTTAATGTATATGAGTGTTTTGCCTGCATGCAAGTGTGCCCATGTTGTGCAATGCCCACAGAAGCCAGAAGACGGTGTCAGATCTCCTGAAACTGGGGTTACGAGCAGTTGTTAGCTGTCTTATGAGTACTGGGAACTGAGCTGGGTCCTCTGCAAGAGCAGCCAGTGCTCTTAAACTCTGAGCCATCTCTCCAGCCCCCTTAACAATACTTGAAAAAAAATTTAATTATGTACATATGTGTATGTGTGTGTAGGTGCACATGTGTGCACATGTATGCAGGTGCCCATGACTGATCCCCTGGAACTGGAGTTAAATTGGGTGCTGGGAATCAAATGCAAATCCTCAGGAAAAGCAGTGCGTGCTCTTAAACTCCAAGCTGTCTCTCCAGCCCTACTTTAACAATATTTGAGATTTAAATTTTTCTTGACAATTTCATACACCAGCACTGTATTTATATCACTCCCCAGTACTTAAGATTTTAAAGTATTGGGGCTGGAGAGATGGCTCAACGGTTAAGAGCACTGGCTGCTCTTGCAGGGGACCCAAGTTCGAATCCCAGCACCCACATGGTGGCTAATGGCCACCTGTAATTCTGTTCCAGGGGAATCCTATGCCTTCTTCTGACCTCCGTAGGCATTGCACTATACAGGTGCATTTACACACATGCAGGCAATACACTCATAAACATAAAATTTAAAAAATACTAAATAAAATATTTTTTAAAGATTTTAAAATATTTTTGAATTGTGTGTATATATGTATGTGCATGAAGGTGCAGATACCCTCGGAGGCCAGAAGAGGGTGTGAGACCCACTAGAACTGGAGTTACCATTGGAAACTGAACGCAGGTCCTCTGCAGGGGCAGCAAGTGCTTGTAACTGCTAAGCCCCTGTTCTAGTCTGTTTTCTGTTGCTGTGATAAAACACTCTAATCAAAAGCAACTTGGGGAGGAAAGGCTTATTTCATCTTACAGTTCATTGCTGAGGGAAGTCAGAGCAGGAAGTCAAGCAAGGCAGGAAGTTGAAGCAAAATCCATGAAGGAATGCTGCTTGTTGGCTTGCTCCAGGGCTGATGCTTAGCCAGCTTCTTCATACATCCCAGGTCCCTCAGAGATCTGACTCCCTCAGATAACTCTGGGCTGTGTCAAGCTGACAGCTAAAGCTAACTAGGACACCATCTCCCAGCACTCCAAGATGTTTTCAGAACCATACTGCCTTTTATGGATAGCAATACAGTTTACATATTAAATAACAGAATAGAATAATTCAATAGTTTTAGACAGAAGAAAAAAGGGAAAGAATTCAGATTACAAACCTCCTCCCTCCAAACAAATTTTGTAAGTGGGTCAGTGCAATCATTGTATTTGACTAGTCATGTCTAATTCCTGTTCCACCAATGGTCAATAAAATTAAAAAGAAAGCCCAACTTTCACAATCCCTGCCTCAAAGAAATAACAGAGTAGATTCTAATGGAATGCAAAAATATTTCTTCCTAGCCGTTGTGGTGGCGCACGCCTTTAATCCTAGCACTTGGGAGGCAGAGGCAGGTGGATCTCTGAGTTCAAGTCCAGCCTGGTCTACATAGTGAGTTCCAGTACAGCTGGGGCTACAGGGAGACCCTGTCTCAAAAAGAACCCCCCCCGCTATATATATATATTTCTTCCTATTTCATTGCCCAGAAAGTTGAATTCACATATCTACCACATGCCTCGTCAAGATGTTAATTTTTAAGTTATTTTTGTTGTTGTTGTTGAGGTTGAGACAGGGTCTCCCTGTAGCCACAGCTGGCTTGGTACTCACTATGTAGACCAGGCTGGCCTTGATTTCAGAGATCTGCCTCCCAAGAGCTCAGATTAAAGGCGTGTGCCATCACGCCTTATGTTATGTTTATTTAATAGTGAAGCATAAAGGAATGAGGATGAAATAAAGACTTCAGACATGCAAAAGCGAAAGAATTCATGATCACACAACCAGCCCATACAAGGAAGATTAAATAAAGTCCTTCAAGCAAAACGAAAATGTTACCAGATGGAAATAGCTATTGAAAGGATGAAGAGCACTAGAAATAGTGACTCTGTGGAGAATGAGAATAGCTTCAAGCCTCCAACAGACAGCCTTTGGTGACACTTTATATCCAAATTTATCACACACAGTAAAGGATATTACCAGGGACAGAGTATCATTTTATAGTGATAAAGAAGTCAACTAAGTAAAAGAAAATCCTGAATGCGTATTCACATTATGAAAGAGCATTAAAATGCATGCAAAAAGTGGAGATTAAAAATTTAAAAAGGTAACCCTGGGCTGGGGATGTTGTTCCATTGGTAGAGTGCTTGCCTAGCATGCACAAAGCCTTGGGTTCCATCCCTGGCATCACATAAACCCAACATAGTGGCACATGCCTATAATCCCAGTACTCAGGAGGTGGGGGCAGGAAGATCAGAAGTTCAAGGTCGATGTTGGCTACAGAGCAAGTTTTAGGCCAGCCTGGGCTACCTGAGGAGGGAGGGAAGAGGGAAGGGAGGGAGGGAGGGAGGGAGGGATGAAGGAAGGAAGGAAGGAAGGAAGGAAGGAAGGAAGGAAGGAAGGAAGGAAGGGGAAAGAAAGACAAGAGAGCTGGGGAGGAAAGAAGGTGGGGGAGGGACAAATCCACAACTTTAGTTCAAATTTAATCCTGTTCTTAGGAATTATTAATAACAGAACACTAGATAGGAAGTCAGTGAGCATATAGATTTGAATAACAGTATTAAGCAATTTTGTCTAAAATGACAGAAGCAAATTTCACGTTGTTTTCCAGTGTACATGAAACATTTACTAAGACAGATCAGATCCTGGGTTGTAAAACAAGTCCAGCAGCCAATATGTATAGCTGACCCACTGAGATGACCCAATCATGCCATATATGCACAAGAAAAGAACTCATGATACACAAAACAACATGAATGAATCTCAAATTAATCATGCTGGGGAAAAGAATCCAGGCACAAAAAGGGCACATAGCTGGGGATGTGACTCAGTTGATAGAGTCTTGCCTAGCATGCACAAAACCCTGAATTCAATCATCCCCAGCACCACATAAGCCGGGCTTGATGATACCTATAATCCCATTACTCAGGAGATGTAGGCAGGAGGAGCAGGAGTTCAGGGTTATCCTCTACTACATATTGAGTCCAAGGCCAGCCTGTACTATATGCCACCCTGTCTCAAAAAAAAAAGAGGCACATATTGTATGATCACATTTATATAAACTTCTAGAATGTGCAAAGTAATGTGTAATGAAGGAAAGCAGATTAGGTGTTGCCTGGGAATGGGAAGATGAATGGAATTGAAGATGAATGGGGGGAGGGAAGTTGGATGTAATAAGTATCTTCACCTCTTGTCTAAGATGATGTTTCATGGGTGTTAATATAAGCTCACCATGTGCTTACTGTACATCAATGATACCTCATTAAAGAAGAGCATGTGTGTGTGTGTGTGTGTGTGTGTGTGTGTGTGTGTGTGTGTG